TTTTTTTTTTTTTTTTTTTAAGAACCTGCTTTTGCATTTAAAATTGGATTTGTGCTAAACTGAGGCTTTTGTGCCTACAAGGAGCACCAGCCATGTCCTGACCACAAGGTGCCATGTACTCGCAGTGCAAATGGAGTCTCAGAGAGTGGAAATGCCACTGTGAGGAGAACAAAAAGCTGAAGGAAGGCCAGAAAAGGGAGAGTCTGTTACCAAATGGTGCATTTGACCTCTTGTGGCCCTCCTTCCCCACACAGAAGGCTGACACAGAGATCACAGATTATGGAGTGGAAGGTGTGAATTCGGCTAAATTGCATTTGGCTRTCCTTAATGCTGGAAGAGCACACACTGTCCAGGAGGCACGGGGAGAGAGAACATGCTTAAATGGGAAAAAAAAAGCAATTGAGAATTTCTTACAATCCATACTGGATAGAAGTAAGAGCTTGGAGTTATTTTCSATGTATAGTTTAAATGAATCCTTACAAGGTCCTATTTGATTTCCTCTTTCTTCACGTTTTTATTTTCTTTTAAAATTCTGTAATTTTAAAAGTGGATCTTTTTTTTTTTTTCGTTTGAAAAATTATTTGGGAAAAGTTGTGAAGCAATTATTTATTAGGCTTCTAGTTGGGTTTCATTTATTTCTAATTCTCTTCAGCTTGGATAGCTTTTAATCAGTTTAATACTTATCCTCATGTTTCACTAATTGTTATTTATTCCATACAATTACATATCCTACAAGCATTCATTTTGCCTCACAGGTATCATGTATTGACCCCTAGAAAGCTGAGGAAATGAAGGCAGAGCTTTTCAAAGCACCTTGAAAACAGCTTCCAGTGATTTCTTTAGCCTGAGCCATAGCTCAGAAGCTCCTGATTTGTGCACCCAGCAGAGTACTCAGCAGGGATCTGGAGTGTGTTTATTATTGCAGYGACAAGTGGAGAACTGTGGGCACTCAAGGTCACCCCTACACAGTCAGCCAYGTCTGGCCATGGGCTGTGCCTCTGYRGGGTATTGCAGGGACCCAARCTTTCTCAGGTCACTGATTTTTTTTGGGCAGAAGAGCACCAAGGGTTGGTGGCTGGAGAGTGATGAACTCAGCTCTGAGCCATGCAGAGAGCCAGGGTTCAGCCCTAGCACAGGGATGGTGCAGCCCTGTGAGCGCAGCCAAGTGGATTTTGGGTCCTGGCAATAAAGTCAGAGCTTGGTCACAAATCATGGACCTACCTCTGTCCTCCCTTCGAACACCTTCCTTGCTGTGACCTGCTTTGATCAGGGCTTGACACATGAGAGGAGTCCATGGAGAGGTCAGCACCAACTCTACTACAGAGCTTCAAGCCTTGGCCTCTCTGCTGAGTTTCTCCAAGGAGCTGCAGTGCTGACCACATTGCTGAGAGCTGCTAAAGTCACTGTTTCCCRTGCCAGCCTCACAGCATCACCTCCCTGCTCAGCAGTGCAGTCTCCCTGGTTACCTGACTGCAGAGCTGGGACAGGCATGCCATGATTTTGCCTTATGTTCTTTGAGCCTGTGCACTGAGTCTGAGGGTGTTCCTTCAGCCTGCATAAAACCAAATTAAACCCAGAAAGCCATCCTGTCTCAGAGCTGGCTGTGCTTTGACCCTGCCACCCACTGCTTCCCACACAGTGCCCTCAGAGCTGGCACAGCTGGAGGAATCTCGGTTCCTCTCTTGTGGGAAGGCAGCCGGTGAGTATTCCCCTGGGGGAACTACACATGGTCATTTTGCTCTTAGCTGGAGTTGGTGGCTGAGCTAAAACCAAGTGATTCAGAGTTTGAAGAGTGATTCAGTGTCAGGCTTTGGGACAGGTTTCTCTAGCTCTGYGTTTAGTTAA